GACTTTGGCTGTGTAAGAAAATGTAGGGTTTTCAGATGACATGGGGCCTTGCTCTAATTTTAGGTCATGTGGGGCTGCCACAGCTGGAGTCTCTGGCACTGTCAGTGGAGACATGTTTTGGGGAATTAATTAAACTCTCCTCCCCATGTAAGTGCTACAGGACTCTGGGGTGTTTTGCACTCTCTCCAAGATCAACCTCTCTAGCACTTCCTGCTGCTGCTTTGCTTTCAGCCCTGCATTCCTGTCCTCCAGGGGGAGATAGATCAATTTAGGAAACATAGATGGAGTTTTGCATGGGGCTGGAGGAGCGCCTGAAAGCATATTTTGGACTCTGATTTGCAGCCCCCAAAACATCACAGCGATATCACAGTGGCCCATCAAGTTGCAGGGACTGCTGAATTGCTTTTGGAAATCTAAGGCCTGGTTCTTTTCTTGCTCCAAGGTAAAGCAGAAATGGAGGTACCCCAGCTACCGCATTGACCCCAGGTATGGCACTATGTGTGCGAACTTTGCACAGGTGTCACACTTTATTTTGTGTCTTCTAACACCAGTGCAAAATTTCCATGGCAGAAAAGATGTTACGCTTTATTCACTGCTCCCTAGCTCCATGGTAAAAATGTTTTGGCCATTCTGTTATGGACCAAACATGAACTATGCAGTGGTTTTGAGTGACCGAATGCCATCTGCATGTGAGGAAGTCTCCTGCCTAATATGGTTAATTTGACCAGGACAGCTGCTCGTGGTAAGCGATTCAGACAAGGCCTGTCTCACTCGAACAAGCATTTGGGGCTTCAGAGTGCCAGCCTCTGGAGGCCACGGCTGCTACCCGTACTGTGTAGGACTCTCACAGAGGCCTCTGGCTGGCACCACAGTTGTCATTTTGGGGCATGGTGTTGACAGGAGTCAATTCCAAAGCAAAGCAAATAGACATGTTTCTCTCTGCCTTCGTGGCTGGGCTCAGCAAACACGCACTAAAAGACTCAAAAGTGGCTCCTCCTCATTCCCTGCCAAAAGCTGTACAAGGGAGAGCCCAGGGGTATGTCTGGCTGTCCCCTCCTGAGGAGATGTTTCAGCTGCAACGCTGCAGGGCATGAAGGGCCAGTGCTAGCCTGCCCGTGCTGCCAGCCTGAACGGGGTGCTTCAGGCTCCGGTGTGACCAGACCTCCTTCCCCACGGGGAGCAGAGGCCCTGTTCCTTGCTAACACAACATTTACGTGACTCCCCTCTTGTACTTCAGACAGCAACTGTGTTCAGTGCCAGAGGGACGCTCAAGACTAGTCCCTGCTGAAAGCCATGTGTGTGGCTGTGAAGGTCTGGCAGAGCATGACGCGACAGCTCAGGGTGACTTTGAGGAGCTACCCTTGACCCTGCTGAGCCAGGGGCTCTCAGCAGCAGCCGAGGCAGCTGTGGGGAGTGCGGTGGGAGCAGGAGGGTGCGCCGGCACGGGAACATGGCACTGACTCCTCGTCTGCGTGCGGCAGAGCCGCTGCACCCAAAGGTCTCAGCAAGGGGATAGCTTCCATTCAGGCCCAGTGCCTGGGACCCTGCCTGTCCCGCACACATGGGACCCTGTCTGTCCTGCACACGTGTGCCCCTGTGTGCAGCAGCGCCTCGCTGCTGGCAGCCATGGGGCCTGCCACAGGAGCCGGGAAACGACTGGAGGAGGTGCACACACATGAGCATCCGTGGTGTTGCTGTGTTGGTCTGAGGATACAGAGGGAAGCATGGGCTGCAGGGAGGGGCAAGATCTTTTATGACCCCCACTGGCACAGCTGGACTAAATGGTTGTGTCCACATCACGGGCCAGACCCAGGCCCTCTTTTGGGAAAATGGTTTAGACCTCTGCATCCTTGAGGAGTTAAACTCCACAGCAGAGAGAAGTTAGACAGCAAAACTGCCAGAGCAAGGGGGAGATGCATCCAGTTAAGCCAGCAAGAGATCCCATGGAAAACTGCTCCCTGCCTTGGAGAAGTCCCCCCAGACCACAGACTGCCCAGGCTCCTGGAACAGATCCCCTCCCTGATGCCTCCTGCTCCACATCTCCACAAGGAGACACCCAGAGGCCTCACTCCTGTGCCTCCTCCCCAAAGGTGTTATGGACGGGTCCTGGCCACTGCAGCTGCCCGTGTGCCTGGCTAGCGGTCCTGCCCTGTGCTTGCCCCTCCGGAAATCCAAAGAGTGGGGGGAAAGAGAATAATGCAAAAAGGTGACAAGGTCAAACATAGGCTTCTTGGAGTTTCATGAACTGTGCTTCCCTCCCTGCTGAGTCCAGAAAGGAGTCTGCTTTTGAGCTGGATCATGCAGGTATACATGGGGGCTTTCAGAGATGTCCCACATGGACACATACATGTCAGATGAACAAATGTATGTACCAGGTGAGTGGAAAGTTGGATTCCAGGAAGTCCTCCCAGTCCATGTCTGCCTGCCTCTGTGAGGAGTTTGGTCCCTATGGGGATGCATGGGAAGATGGATACAAAAAAAATGAGCAATTCATTCTTTCCCCTCACCCTGACCTGCTCCTAGATGATGCTGAAGGGCAGTTTCATCTCTGCTGAACTTTTTTTCATAAAGCCTGGCAGCAGTTCCCAACCACGATGAGGCTGTTAGGAGGACCCCCTCCCAAATGGGGTCCCACTGGACTCACCAGATCCTTGGAGGTGCCAAGCCTTGTCAAGCCGTCCAGGGGCAGCAGGTCAGCAGAGTCCTTGTGCACAAACTGGGTGGCCTGTTTAAGGCGCCTCTTCTGTTGCAGAATAGCTTTGTTCCTCAGCTCCATCTCGCATTCCTGTCGCTCCAGGTCAGGAGTACCCTCACTCTGCTTTTCCTCCCGGTCTCCTTGCCCCAGTGGCAGAGGGCAGCTCTTCCTTGTGCTCATGGTGAAGATTCAGACAGAACAGGTCCTTCTTGGTATGCTGGGGTGTTCCCTGCACTCGTCTCCTGGTGTTTGCCCTCTTGAGGCTGACTCAGTCTCTGAGCTCCTTTCCCTTTCCCCACAGCTCTCCTTCTCTCTCTTTTCTGCCTTTCTTCCTGCTCTCTTAGTTATAACTCACCCATCTCTGAAGTGTCTCTGTGCCTTTTTCTCCCTCTGTCCTCTCCACTCCGCCGGTGTCCCTCTGCTCCCCACCTCTTCCTCTCCCCCTCTTCTCCTGCCCTGACTGCAGCTCTGCCTCTTCCAGTCGGTGGGTCCCTGTCTTAACAGAAAAAGCCCCACGTCAGAAACCCATTTCCATAAATTACAGCAGAGCCGGCAAGATGCTCCGGCTGGAAAAATCCAGCAGCAGAAGGATGGCCCTGCTGTTGGGGGCTGGACTTACCTCCCTCGGGCTGTGCACGCGCACGCGCGCGCGTGTGTGTGAGTGCGTGTGTGTAGACTGCCTGTCCCCCCCGATACGCTGAAGAGACAGTAAATCTCTCAGTGGCAGGCTGTGCGGTTCAGTGTCTCTGCTGGGGGCGCTTTGACGCATCTCAGTGAATCTGTAAATACTGGCAACAACATGGTTCAGTCTAGGAGATGATGCAGTGCCTTGGTAAATGAGAGAGAGCATCCGCCGAAAGGCTCCTGGCAGGCATGCCCAGTCTCATTTCTGCAGTGTTACGCATTTGGAATAGGCTGCACTGAAGGATTTTACTGTGTAGCTTGAACGAAATGCTGAAGGAGTGGTTTCTGCTTCCGGCCAGGGCAAATGTATTGGGCCTGACTCTGCCCTCATTTTCACCCCTCTCTGTCTAGAGCCGAAGTTGCAGAAGCCTAAAATCACTGGCTTGTCGATACCAGTGGACTTGACTCCCTGTTTACAGTAAGAGTATGCTGACATTGCTGCAGTGTGGGATGTCTGGACCAGGGCAGACATCCCTCCTCTCAGGGGAGAGAGGGCATGGCAGAGCTCACTTTTTCAACTTTCTGCCTTGTCCTGCTTGAAACTATAAGTTTCAACTTGAACTGAAGCTGCTTTATTTTGATCCCTTTTCACTGGTGAATGCACTGCCCCAGTAAGCACCACTTCTGACGTCATGTACAGAGGAGGAAACTGAGTTTTACTCAGCTATGAAGCTGAGGACAGCATTACCTTTCCGTGAATGTCATCTGGGGGTGAAATAGCTTTCATGTACAACACAGAAGGAATAATAGCAACAGACGATGAAAGTTACAGCAAAAGGAGTCTTTCTGTTGCTCCCTTTCTTTTTTTCCAGCTTAGTAATGTAACATTCCAACATTACTGATACCAATAATTTCTATGTTCTAGATTGTATATAGAAATATAACCCTGACTTTGCAATGTTAGGAAGTAAATCCAATGGTCCATGTACAAAGATGAGTCCAGTCAGCCACTGTGAGACCTCAGTGTGGTCACAGAAACTACAAAAAAGTTGGCCTCAGTGCAAAGCAAACCATGTTGTTTACCTTTTACTCTCTGATAATCATCACAGTGTTAGCATTTCTCTTGGGATCTTTGGTCCTCAAATGTTAGAAGGGAGGCTGGTCATTTTTAGAGTCATTCTAAAATTTGAAGAGATTAACCTTTTTGTTCCCAGTATGCTAACTGCTTCACACAAGGTGTCATGGTTCCCACAGCACCAACTTGCAGAACCAGATTTGGCAGGAATGGGAGTAGAAATATATTCTAATTGCTTTACACTATAAGGCCAAACTCCAACATCATAATGCAGGCAGAGTCCCATCAAGAACTCAGCAGATCTGTCTTCAACTGTCCTTGTCTCTCTGCAAGCCGAATTAAGAGAATTTAAATAATGGATATTCCCAGGGAAGCTGTGTTCCCACGGTCTTGTTTTCTTGCCTCTAGGTTGTCATGATTCCTGATTTACACACACTTTTGACCTCTTGTGGCCTCACTGAGCATCCTCTGAGTGTTGTTATCAAGTCCTTTAACCATCCCCATAAACCAGTACTGAATCATGTACCTCTACGCTCACACAGGGCCCTGTTTCCCCTCCTCCAGACTGTGAATTCCTCAGCAGGCCAGCCTTGACAAGGCAGCTCTGCTTCTGCTGGCAGCAGTGGCAGTGCCAATTTTCTTAAAGCCTCAGAACAGACCTTAAAACTATAAAGTAGAATAGGACATCTTGGGACCAGATCCCCTACAGTCCCTGCCTTGTAACCTATGGGCAGAGTTATACGATTTCTGACGAGATTGTCTCCCACCTTGGATGTGTGTATGGGCATGAAGAGGAGAGAGCATTCATAGTTCCCAGTTCCTCCTTGCAGCTAGCCACCCTTTATTTGTTCTTGCACCGCACTTTGGCAAAGCCCAATCAAAATTGGTTTGCCTTGCAGCTGTGCTGGAGCCATTGCTTGAGTAGTCCTGCTTTAGGGCCTGACCAGCTAATCCCGGCCCTTAATTCACAAAATATTTCTCTCCTAGTGCTTCAAAAGGGAGAATTCTTCAAATCTTATCTAAAGCTTTCTCCCCTCCTTCATCCCTTCTGCTCCAAAGAGCAGGTCACTTAACTCTTTACATCCTGTGATGTGTTAGTTCCCAGATCTGGCAAAAAACCCTAGCATTTTGATGGAGGTGGAGTCAGCTAATACTTTATCTTCTCCCTTCAGAGGCCTGCTGGGTTCTAGGTCACTGTTTTTTTCTATTCAGCTATTACTTTTTCCATCCTGTTCTTCTTAAACAGAGCCCATTTACCAAGTAGGTTAGGTGCTTTCAGTTTTTTTGCAGAATGGACCTCTCTAATGGAGAACCAGACCACATGCAGCAAATTTAAGCTTATTCCCAGTAGCTATGCCTTTCCCAGTCATCTTTTGTAGGTCCTGGAAAATAGCGTATGACTCATCAACAGCCTGTGTTAGAAAAATAAAACTGATTTAGATAAAAACATTCATACACAATCCCATACACACTAAGAAATTATTTTCCTTCTTTGATCCAGTCACATACAATAATCATAACCCGTTATACCTCGCTATTCTCCACCCTTCATACAGAAATCCTTACAGGATGTGTAACAGTGCTTTTCAGTCAATGGAACAACCATTCCACCTTCACAGAAGATAAAAGCCCTTCTCCCTGCTCCTGCTAGCAGCTTGGCCTTCTAGCAGTTACGGGTCAGTGAGAGCTCTGGGGCAAAAGATTCCAGCTTCTAACCACAAAGCCACAGCGCTGTATCTGTGTTCATGGCTATTGGTCCCTGGTGTTGACCCCCTCCATGTCTGAGAAATGCTGAAGAATTCAGAACTAGTGCCCATATTTCTGAGGAAAGGCACTGAAAAGCAGCATTTCCCAGTAGCCAGTTTGCCCAGCCAAGAAACAGGAGAGGGTCAATATTCCAGCCAGCTATTCCTTTGTTGAAGAAATTCATGAACAGTACCTGAAGTAGTGAAGGGGACGAATGGACTCCTTTGCTGAAAGAAGTAACTCCCAGATTAAAGAACATGAGACAAAGTAAAGATTTTGCCTCCCTCTGCCAGGAGCATTAGGGAGTATCCCAGCTCTTTGAGGAGCTGCTCTGTTGAAGGCTTTCACTGGTTTGACTTTAAATTCATGAGCTGAGGTTCTTTCACTAGAGATTTTTCTTGTATCTCACTTCTGGGAAGCTTTACCTAACCTACTCATTCCTCTTTAAAATATTCTCCTACTACTTTTGCAACTTCTAATACTTGTTCCCTTCTTAGAGAATTCTCTTCAGCTTTGGGTTTTTCTCTCTTTCAACAATTTGGAAACTATTGTTTTGTCCTCTTGTAGAGCCAACACAGTGCAGGTGGGAGGGTGGATTGTAAATAAAGAGCTTTACATTTCTTTTGTGTCAAGCTGGGCTGTTACAGAGCTCAACAATAGCCCCCACATGATGTAACCAGCCCAGAGGTTGTTTCTACATTACACCAGTTTCCAAGGCACTGTCTCAGTTTGGCAGAGCAAGCTTCAAGTGGCTGTGAAGGTGCCCCTCAGTGCAGCAACTATGTCAAGGCCAGGAGATTCCCTGTGGTGGCCCAGTGCAGAATCACTATGAGACGACTTTCTGCTCATCCTCTTGCATTCTCACAGCCTGTGCTCGGTCTATGGATGCACAGATGGTGCAGAGGAGGGATGAGAGGACAAACCTCACTCAGGCAAACTATGCATGCTTCTCTCTCCCCTTCCATCTCTGAAAAAAATTATTTGAAAAGAAAAGCTTCCTTTGCTTTGAATTCCTTCCAGTTTGTCTATTTGGATAATAAAATATATTCCTATTCTTCAAATAATGAGTAACAGGTTACAGTATTTATATCTGTGAATAAATCTGGCAAGTTTCCTTGAGATAAATGTCATCTCAGATTTACATAACGTTTTAGCTCAGCTGCTGGACAGCAAAGTGTGTCCTGCCAGTAAAGTCAGTCGGAGAGTATAGTTCGCTTAATTAGGTAATTTAGGGTCAAGTCTCTGTAGTCATCTGCCATAGGGGCTAGATTTATGAAAACACTGTGGCAAACTTGGAACAATGTTGTCCAATATGAATTCCCCCTGCTGCATAAATATTGCTTGTAATGATTTGTGTCCTGCCTGTATTGATTTCACTGCTTGAGCTAAGCTTCATACAAAGGGGCCTTTTCTGTTTGGTTAGAATAGTTAGCATTGCCACAGAACAGTTGCTGATCATGCAGCAGGCAATACAAAATTCCCTCTTACATTACATGGCTGCATTAATTACACTAGATGCCTTTGGCTTTGTTTTCACAAGGGGAAAGAACATTCACTTTTATTACAGAGTGCTAATGCACAGAGCAATGGCAACTATCTTACCCATGCTAGAGCTTCTCTGTGCTCATGAAGTTGTTTAAAGTAGAGAATAATTTCTGCTAGGAATATGCTTACCAATAAAAGTATGCAAGAGTCTGAGAGGAAGGATAGTTGTGTATTTAAGGCCAGTAGCACA